ATATTATTCTTATTAAATTCATTCATTTAGATATTGTATATCCACACCACTTTTATATATTTATTTATTCCACTCTAAAATCTAAGTGTGTTTGAGCCGCATTAGTTTTGAAAGAATATATTTTGGAATAGTAGATTGATAGAGAATATGTGGTTAAAAAATGAGAAAAGTTTTGAATTTGGGTGCAATATTATTTTATTGAAGAATGTGTAGTTGAAATGATATCAAATTACTATTTAAGAATGTATTTTTTTGAAAGAATTATACTATTACAATTTCAATTTTTTTTAAAAAAAATTTACTTTATATTCTTCCTCGTTACATAAAACATCAACTTTATCAATTTCGTAATTAACTCTATAGACAAAAAATAATAAAGATGGGATTTCATAAAGTATAAAAACCCCTTAATTATCGTCACTTGCAGTATGACATAGACTCGATAATTTTATTAAAGGATAACACTAGTTGTACATAATTTTTTGTACATTAAGGTATCCATGAGTTTGGGACACATTGATGTACAAAAAATTATGTATACCAAGCAAAGTCCTTTATTAACAAGGTTGTACTTGGTGTACATAATTTATTTACATAGGGGTGTGGATTATTTACATAGGCCAAGACTTTTCCTTATTAAATCGAACATAATAATTTGAAATGACTCGAGTAAAATAAAGGGCATCAATAAGCCCTGCCAAATGCTGGAAAATCTTCAAAAGCTTTTGAATTATGCTAGTAATTAGGGGCTTGTTCAGTAGTAATTATGATAATTGATTTTTTGACCGTTAGAGAGAAAAGTAGGTTTTCCTATAAGAGAATAAGTCAAAAATAACGACTGATTTAGATAAGTAACGGTCAAAATTTGATTTTTTTTTAGGTGAAAAATCATAACCAAATTGCACTAGGTATAACAATCATTGATTTCATCACACCATAATTCCTTTATATTATCGATCAGTGCAATTAATTGAATTATACAAAATGATGATTTTCTCTTCTTATACTGATAACCCTGATAGAAAATATATCCAGTATTCAAGAAAATAAAATATAATCCCAACAGAAAATTCAATCTATTCAAAATTATTTTCTTAGTGATACTACTTGAATTAAAAAGGCATGATATCAAATAATCCAAAATAAATAAATAAAAAATCCTTCAAATACTAAATTCATCAAACACACAAGAAAAAGTGGTCCTTTCCTTTTCAAATTCTTTTTTATATATTACTATATTTATGTATTTGCTCTAAATGTTGTCTCTTCCATTGTTGTCTTGGTTTTAGATGAAAAAAAAATGTTTTATAAATATTAAATTTCAATTAAACATGAAATTTGAAAGAATATAAAAGTGTTCAAATGAATTTAATGAAAATAACTATTAATGGATGAATTTAGAATGATAGATTTTTATTTGATTTTATTATTGTCCATTTAAGTAAATTTATATTAGATTAAAAATGTAATATAATTTTCTTTTTAAAAGCGGATAGATATATAAAGATAGTGGATGTAAATAGTGGCTTCCTTTTAATCACAAATTCACAAATAANTAA